AGCTATAAATTCTATTCTTTCTGTTGCCAACCAAGGCTATAGAACCTATTCTTTCTGCTGCCAACCAATGCTATAGAATCTATTCTCTCTGTTGCCAAAACAAAGCTATAAATTCTATTCTTTCTGTTGCCAACAAGGCTATAGAACCTATTCTTTCTGCTGTACAACCAAGGCTATAGAATCTATTCTCTCTGTTGCCAAACAAAGCTATAAATTCTATTCTTTCTGTTGTTATAGAACCAAAACAAGGCTATAGAACCTATTCTCTCTGTTGCCAAACAAAGCTATAAATTCTATTCTTTCTGTTGCCAACCAAGGCTATAGAACCTATTCTTTCTGCTGCCAACCAATGCTATAGAACCTATTCTCTCTGTTGCCAAACAAAGCTATAAATTCTATTCTCTCTGTTGCCAACCAAAATATAAATTCTATTCTTTCTGTTGACAACCAAGGCTATAGAATCTATTCTCTCTGTTGCCAAACAATGCTATGAATTCTATTCTCTCTGTTTGCCAACCAAGCTATAAATTCTATTCTTTCTGTTTGCTTCTAGGCTTTCATTGAACCTATTCTTTCTGCTGCCAACCAATGCTATAGAATCCTATTATTCTCTCTGTTTGTCCAAACAAAGCTATAAATTCTATTCTTTCTGTTGCCAACCAAGGCTATAGAACCTATTCTTCTGTTGCCAAACAAAGCTATAAATTCTGTTCTTTCTGTTGTAACCAGGCCTATAGAATCTATTCTTTCTGTTTGAAAAGCCAAACAAAATCTAAATTTCTATTCTTTCTATTCTTTCTTTTGCCATAAAAGGCTATAGAACCTATTCTTCTGCTGCCAACCAATGCTATAGAATCTATTCTCTCTGTTGCCAAACAAAGCTATAAATTCTATTCTTTCTGGTTGACAACCAAGGCTATAGAACCTATTCTTTTCTGCTGCCAACCAATGCTATAAATCTATTCTCTCTGTTGCCAAACAAAGCTATAAATTCTATTCTTTCTGTTGCCAACCAGGCTATAGAACCTATTCTTTCTGCTGCCAACCAATGCTATAGAATCTATTCTCTCTGTTGCCAAACAAGCCTATAAATTCTATTCTTTCTGTTTGCCAACCAAGGCTATAGAACCTATTCTTTCTGCTGCCAACCAAGGCTATAGAATCTATTCTCTCTGTTGCCAAACAAAGCTATAAATTCTATTCTTTCTGTTTTGCCAACCAAGGCTATAGAACCTATTCTTTTCTGCTGCCAACCAATGCTATAGAATCTATTCTCTCTGTTTGCCCAAACAAAGCTATAAATTCTATTCTTTCTGTTGCCAACCAAGGCTATAGAACCTATTCTTTCTGCTGCCAACCAATGCAAGGCTATAGAATCCTATTCTCTCTGTTGCCAAACAAGCTATAAATTCTATTCTTTCTATTTGTATTCTTTCTGTTGCCAACCAAGGCTATAAACCTATTCTCTCTGCTGCCAACCAAAGCTATAAATTCTATTCTTTCTGTTGCCAAACAAAGCTATAAAACCTATTCTTTCTGTTGCCAACCAAGGCTATAGAATCTATTCTTTCTGTTGCCAAACAAAGCTATAAATTCTATTCTCTCTGTTGCCAAAAAGCTATGGATTCTATTCTTTCTTTGACAACAATGCTATAGAACCTATTCTCTGTTGCCAACCAAGGCTATAGAACCTATTCTTTCTGCTGCCAACCAATGCTATAAGAATCTATTCTCTCTGTTGCCCAAACAAGCTATAAAATTCTATTCTTTCTGTTTGCCCACCAAAGGCTATAAACCCTATTCTTTCTGATGCCAACAAATACTATAGAATCTATTCTCTCTGTTTAAACTAAGATATAAATTCTATTCTTTCTGTTGCCAACCAAGGCTATAGAACCTATTCCTTCTGATGCCAACAAATGCTATACAATCTATTCTCTCTGTTTGCCAAACAAAGCTCTGAATTCTATTCTTTCTTTGCCAACAGGCTATAGAACCTATTCTTTCTGCTGCCAAGCCAATGCTATACAATCTATTCTCTCTGTTTGTGAAACAAAGCTATAAATTCTATTCTTTCTGTTTGCCAATCAAGGCTATAGACCTATTCTTTCTGCCACCAGCCAAATGCTATAGAATCTATTCTCTCTGTTTGCCAAACAAGCTATAAATTCTATTCTTTCTGTTGCCAACAAGGCTATAGAACCTATTCTTTCTGCTGCCAACCAATGCTATAGAATCTATTCTCTCTGTTGCCAAACAAGCTATAAATTCTATTCTTTCTGTTGACAACCAGGCTATAGAACCTATTTTTTTCTGCCCACCAATGCTATAAAGAATCTATTTTCTCTGTTTGCCAAACAAAGCTATAAATTCTATTCTCTGTTTTGCCAAACAAAGCTATAAATGCTATGGAATCCTATTCTCTTTTGCCAAACAAAGCTATAAATTCTATTCTTTTCTCTGTTTGCCAACCAGGCTATAGAACCTATTCTTTTTTCTGCCAACCAATGCTATAGAATCTATTCTCTCTGTTTTGTAAACAAAGCTATAAATTCTATTTCTTTCTGTTTGCCAACCAAGGCTATAGAACCTATTCTGCTGCCAACCAAGGCTATAGAGATCTATTCTCTCTCATGCCAAACAAAGCTATAAATTCTATTCTTTCTGTTTGCCAACAAGGCTATAGAACCTATTCTTCTACTTTTGACAACCAATGCTATAAATCTATTCTCTCTGTTTGCCCAAACAAAGCTATAAATTCTATTCTTTCTGTTTGCCAACCAGGGCTATAGAACCTATTCTTTCTGCTGCCAACCAATCCATTCTCTTATTTGTCAAACAAGCTAATTCTATTCTTTTCTTTTTGCCAACCAAGGCTATAAACCTATTCTTTTGCTGCCAACTAATGCTATAGAATCTATTCTCTCTGTTGTCAAACAAAGCTATAAATTCTATTCTTTCTGTTGCAACCAAGGCTGCAGAACCTATTTTTTCTGCTGCCAACCAATTCTAAATCTATTCTCTCTTTGTAAACAAAACTACTCATTCTATTCTTTCTGTTTGCCAACCAAAGGCTATAGAACCTATTCTTTCTGCTGCCAACCAATGCTATAAATCTATTCTCTCTGTTGCCAAACAAAGCTATAAATTCTATTCTTTCTGTTTGCCAGCCAAGGCTATAGAACCTATTCTTTCTGCTGCCAACCAAGGCTATAGAATCTATTCTCTCTGTTGCCAACAAAGCCTAAATTCTATTCTTTTCTGTTGCCAAAAGGTTATGGAACCTGTCTTTCTGATGCCAACCAATGCGATAGAATCTATTCTCTCTGTTGCCAACCAAGCTATAGATTCTATTCTTTCTGTTTCCAAGCAAAGCTATAAATTCTATTCTTTCTGTGGCCAGCAAGATTCTCTCTGTTGCCAAACAAAGCTATAAATTCTATTCTTTCTGATGCCAGCCAATGCTATAGAACCCCTATTCTTTCTGTTGCGAAACAAAGCTCTATAAGATTCTTTCTCTCTGTTGCCAAACAAAGGCTAAATTCTGTTCTTTCTGTTGCCAACCAATGCTATAGAATCTATTCTTTCTGCTGACAACCAAAGCTATAAATTCTATTTCTTTCTGTTTGCCAACCATTTATAGAACCTATTCTTTCTGTTTGTAACCAATGCTATAACCTGGCTTCTTCTGTTGCCCAACAAAGCTCTGAATCTATTCTTTCTGACATGACAAAATATAAGTTGTTCTTTCTGTTGCTTAATCAGGTTATAAGACCTATTCTTTCTGCTGCCCAACCAATGCTATAGAATCTGTTCTCTGTTTGTCAAACAAAGCTATAATTCTATTCTTTCTGTTTGTAACAAAAGGCTATAGAACCTATTCTTTTCAGAGTGCCAACCAAGGCTATAGAATCTATTTTCTCTGTTGTTGCCAAACAAGCTATAAATTCTATTCTTTCTGTTTGCTTAATAGGAATATAGAACCTATTTTCTCTGTTCCAAACAAAGCTATAAATTATTCTCTCTGTTTGCCAAACAAGCTATAGAACCTATTCTTTCTGTTGCCAACCAAGGCTATAGACCTATTCTTTTCATTTGCCAACAAAGGCTGTAAATTCTCTCTGTATTTTAAAACAAACTATAAATTCTGTTTTTCTGCCAACCAAGGCTATAAGAACGATTCTTTCTTAACCACCAAGGCTAAAATCTATTACTTCTCTCTGTTTCCAAACAAACACTATAAATTCTGTTCTTTCTGTTTAACCAAAGGCTATACCTATTCTTTCTGCCAGCAATGCTATAGAATCTATTCTCTCTGTTTGCCAAACAAAGCTATAAATTCTATTCTTTTCTGTTGCCAACCAAGGCTATAGAACCTATTCTTTCTGCTGCAAACCAATACATATAATCTATTCTCTCTGTTGAAACAAAGCCTAAATTCTATTCTTTCTGTGACAACCAAGGCTATACATTTTATTCCTTCTGCTGCTTGGCCAGGCTAGAATCTATTCTCTCTTTTGCCAAACAAGCTATAAATTCTATTCTTTCTATTTTACAGCAAGGCTATAGAACCGATTCTTTCTGCTGCCAACCAATGCTATAGAATCTGTTCTCTCTGTTGCCAAACAAAGCTATAAATTCTATTCTTTCTGTTGCCAACCAAGGCTACAACCTATTCTTTCTGCTGCTTATTTAATCAAAGCTGGAATCTATTCTCTCTGTTACTTAAACAAAGCTATAATTCTATTCTTTCTGTTGCCAGCAAGCTATAGAACCTATTCTTTTCTGCTGCCAATCAAGGCTATAGAATCCTATTCTCTCTGTTTGCCCAAAGCAAGCTATAATTCTATTCTTTTGCCAATAAGGCTATAGAACCTATTCTTTCTGCTGCCAACCAATGCTATAGAATCTATTCTCTTTTGTTTGCCAAACAAAGCTATAAATTCTATTCTTTCTGTGCCATCCAAAGGAAACCTATTATTCTTTCTGCTGACTAACCAATGCTAACCTATTCTTTCTGTTTACCTTGCCAACCAATGCTAAATTCTATTCTCTCTGTTTGCCGAACAAAGCTTCCTGTTCATCTGCCAAATTCTATACAGTCTTTCTGTTGCCAAAAACAAAGCTATAGAACTATTCTTTCTGCTGCCAACCAAGGCTAGAACCTATTCTTTCTGCTTCCAAACAAAGCTGCTAAATCCTATTCTTTTGTCTGTTGCTTTCTAGCAAACCAGGCTATAGAACCAATTCTTTCTGCTGCCAACAAGACTGTAGATCTATTCTCTCTGTTGCCAAACAAAGCTGTAAATTCTATTCTTTCTGTTGCCAACAAGGCTATAAGAACCTATTCTTTCTGCTGCCAACCAATGCTATAAAAATCTGTTTCTCTCTGTTGCCAAACAAAGCTATAAATTTTATTCCTTCTGCTGCCAACCAGGGCTATAGAACCTATTCTTTCTGTTGCCAACCAAAGGCTATAAATTCTATTCTCTCTGTTGTAAACAAAGCCTTTCTGCTGCCAAATTCTATTCTTTCTTTTCTGTTGCCAACCAAGGGCTATAGAACCTTTCTTTCTGCTGCCAACCAAGGCTATAGAATCTATTCTCTGTTGCCAAACAAAGCTATAAATTCTATTCTTTCTGTGTTGCAACCAAGGCTATAGAACTATTCTTCTGCTGTAACCAATGCTATAGAATCCTGTTCTCTCTGTTGCCAAACAAAGCTAAAATTCTATTCTTTCTGTTCATAACCAAGGCTATACAACCTATTTTTTCTGCTGCCAATCAGGCTGCGAATCTATTCTCTCTGTTGCCAAACAAAAGCTAAAATTCTATTCTTTCTGTTATTCTTTCTGCTGACAACCAAGGCTATATTCTCTCTGTTCACCTATAAATTCTTTCTTTTTCTTTTAAGGCTATGTTTATTCCTTCTGAGCTGCTATAGAATCTATTCTCTCTGTTGCCCAAACAAAAGCTATAAATTATATTCTTTCTGTGTTGCCAACCAAGGCTATAGAACCTATTCTTTCTGCTGCCAGCCAGTACTATAGAATCTATTCTCTCTGTTGTCAACAAAACTATAAATTCTATTCTTTCTGTTTGTAATAAAACTGTAGAACCCTATTCTTTCTGCACCCAACCAGGCTATAGAATCTATTCTCTCTGTTGCCAAACAAAGCTATAAATTCTATTCTTTCTGTTGCCAACAAGGCTATAGAACCTATTCTTTCTTGTGCCAACCAATGCTATAGAATCTATTCTCTCTCTTGCCAAACAAAGCTATAAATTCTATTCTTTCTGTTGCCAACCAAGGCCTATTACTTATAGAACCTATTCTTTCTGTTGCCAAACAAAACTAGAATTCTATTCTCTCTGTTGCCAAACAAAGCTATAAATTCTATTCTTTCTGTTGCCAACCAAAGCTATAAATTTATTCTAACTGCTGCCAACCAATGCTTTCTGCTGCTAGAATCTATTCTCTCTGTTGCCAAACAAGCTATAAATTCTATTCTTTCTGTTTGTCAGCCAAGGCTATAAACCTATTCTTTCTGCTGCCAACCAATGTTATTCTAACCTTCTCTGTTGCCAACCAGGCTATAGAACAAACTAGGGCTTTCTGCTGCCAGCCAAGGGCTATAGAATCTATTCTCTCTGTTTTCCAAATAAGACTATAAATTCTATTCTTTCTCATTTGCCAACCAAGGCTATAGAACCTATTCTTTCTGCTGACAACAATGCTATAGAATCTATTCTCTCTGTTGCCAAACAAAGCTATAAATTCTATTCTTTCTGTTGCCAACCAAGGCTATAGAACCTATTCTTTCTGCTACCAGCCAAGGCTATAGAATCTATTCTCTCTCTGTTTGCCAAACAAAGCTATAAATTCTATTCTTTCTGTTGCTTGACAGGCTGTAGAACCCTTCTTTCTGCTGCCAACCAAGGCTATAGAATCTATTCTCTCTGTTGCCAAACAAAAGCTATAAATTCTATTCTTTTCTGTTTGCCAAACAAGGCTATAGAACCTATTCTTTCTGCTGCCAGCAATGCTATAGATCTATTCTCTCTGTTGCTTAAACAAAGCTATAAATTCTATTCTTTCTGTTTGCCAACCAAGGCTATAGGGCCTATTCTTTCTGCTGCCAAACAAAGCTATAGAATCTATTCTCTCTGTTGCCAAACAAAGCTATAAATTCTATTCTTTCTGTTGCCAACCAAGGCTATGGAACCTATTCTTTCTGCTGCCAACCAAGGCTATAAATCTGTTCTCTCTGTTGCCAAACAAAGCTATAAATTCTATTCTTTCTGTTGCCAACCAAGGCTATAGAACCTATTCTTTCTGCTGCCAATCAAGGCTATAGAATCTATTCTCTCTGTTGCCAAAACAAAGCTATAAATTCTATTCTTTCTGTTGCCAAACAAAGCTATAGAACCTTCTTACTCCAAGGCTATAAACCTGTTCTCTCTGCAAAACAAAGCTATAGAATCTATTCTCTGCTGCCAAACAAAGCTATAGAATCTATTCTCTCTGTTTGCCAAACAAGCTATAAATTCTATTCTTTCTTATTGCCAATCAAGGCTATAGAATCTATTCTTTCTGCTGCCAAACAATGCTATAGAATCTATTCTCTCTGTTGCCCAAGCAAAGCTATAAATTCTATTCTTTCTGTTGCCAACAAGGCTATAGAATCTATTCTCTCTGTTGCCAAACAAAGCTATAAATTCTATTCTTTCTGTTGCCAACCAGGCTATAGAACCTATTCTTTTCTGCTGCCAACCAATGCTATAGAATCTATTCTCTCTGTTGCCAAAACAAAGCTATAAATTCTATTCTTTCTGTTTTGACAACCAGGGCTATATAGAACCTATTCTTTCTGTTGCCAACCAAGGCTATAGGTCTATTCTCTCTGTTGCTGCTATAAAATTCTATTCAACCAAGGCTATAGAACCTATTCTTTCTGCTGCCAACCAATGGCTATAGAATCTATTCTCTCTGTTGCCAAACAAAGCTATAAATTCTATTCTTTCTGTTGCCAGCAAGGAGTTGTAGAACCTATTCTTTCTGCTGCCATCAAGGCTATAAATCTATTCTCTCTGTTGTAAACAAAGCTATAAATTCTATTCTTTCTGTTGCCAACCAAGGCTATAGAACCTATTCTTTCTGCTGCCCAACCAAGGCTATAGAATCTATTCTCTCTGTTTCCAAACAAAACTATAAATTCTATTCTTTCTGTTAGCCAACCAAGGCTGTAGAACCTATTCTTTCTGCCTGCAAACAATGCTATAAATCTATTCTTTCTGTTGCCAAACAAAGCTATAAATTCTATTCTTTCTGTTTGACAACCAAGGCTATAGAATCTATTCTTTCTGTTGCCAAACAATTCTATAAACAAAGCTATTCTTTCTGTTGCCAACCAAGGCTATAGATTCTATTCTTTCTGCTGCCAATCAAGGCTATAGAATCTATTCTCTCTGTTTACAAACAAAGCTATAAATTCTATTCTTTCTGTTGCCAACCAAAGGCTATAGAACCTATTCTTTCTGCTGCCAACCAAGGCTAGAATCCATTCTCTCTGTTGTCAAACAAAGCTATAAATTCTATTCTTTCTGTGTTGCCAACCAAGGCTATAAACCTATTCTTTCTGCTGCCAACCAATTCTAGAATCTAATTTCTCTCTGTTGCCAAACAAAGCTATAAATTCTATTCTTTCATTTGTAACCAAGGCTATAGAACCTATTCCTTCTGCTGCTGCTATAAATTCTATTCTCTGTTGCCAAACAAAGCTATAAATTATATTCTTTCTGTTGCCAAAAACAAGGCTACTAGAACCTATTCTTTCTGCTGCCAGGCTGTATATATTCTCTCTGTTTGCCAAAGGCTATAGAACCTATTCTTTCTGCTGCCAACCAAGGCTATAGAATCTATTCTCTCTGTTGCCAAACAAAGCTATAAATTCTATTCTTTCTGTTTGCCAACCAGGCTATAAAACCTATTCTTTCTGCTGCCAATCATGAGGCTATTCTCTCTGCCAACCAAAGATAAATTCTATTCTTTCTGTTGCCTGTTCTTTCTGCTATAAATTCTATTCTTTCTGTGTTGCCAACCAAGGCTATAGAACCTGTCTTTCTGCAAGCAGCCAATGCTGCCAGCAATACTGATCTATTCTCTCTGTTGCCAAACAAAGCTATAAATTCTATTCTTTCTGTTGCCAACCAAGGCTATAGAACCTATTCTTTCTGCTGCCAACCAATGCTATAGAATCTATTCTCTCTGTTTGCCAAACAAAGCTATAAATTATATTCTTTCTGTTGCCCAACCAAGGCTATAGAACCTATTCTTTTCTGCTGTCAACCAATGCAGAGAATCTGTAAGTCCCCATTCTCTCTGTTTCCAAACAAAGCTAAATATTCTATTTTTCTGTTGCCAGCCTATAGAACCTATTGTTTCTGCTGCCAACCAATGCTATAAATCTATTCTACTCTGTTGCCAAACAAGATATAAATACTTGCCAAACTGGGAGCCTATTCTAAATTCTATTCTTTCTGTTGCCAACAAAGGCTATAGAACCTATTCTTTCTGCTGACAACCAAGGCTATAGAACCTATTCTCTCTGCTTGCCAAACAAATCTGTTGCCAAACAAAGATATAAATTCTATTCTTCTGTTGTAACCAGGCTATAGAACCCTATTCTGCTGCCAATGCAAGGCTCTAATCTGTTCTCTCATTTGCCAAACAAACTATTCTATCTCTTTCTGTTGTGCAACCAAGGCTATAGAACCTAAACAAAGACTTTCTTTCTTTTACTTAATCAAGGCTGCTAGAACCTATTCTCTCTTGTTGCCAAACAAAATATAAATTCTATTCTTTCTTTCTGTTGCCAACCAAGGCTATAGAACCTATTCTTTCTGCTGCCAACCAAGGCTATAGAATCTATTCTCTCTCTGTTGCCAAACAAAGCTATAAATTCTATTCTTTCTGTTGCCAACCAGGCTATAGATCCTATTCTTTCTTTCTTAACAACCAATGCTATAGAATCTATTCTCTCTGTTGCTGCTCAAAACTGCTATCAATTCTATTCTTTCTGTTGCTTGACAAGGCTATACAACCTATTCTTTCTGCTGCCAACCAAAGGCTATAGAATCTATTCTCTCTGTTTGCCAAACAAAGCTATAAATTCTATTCTTTCTGTTGCTTAACCAAGGCTATAGAACCTATTCTTTCTGCTGACAACCAATACTATAGAATCTATTCTCTCTCTTGCCAAACAAAAGCTATAAATTCTATTCTTTCTGTTGCAACCAAGGCTATAGAACCTATTCTTTCTGCTGCCAACCAAGGCTATAGAATCTATTCTCTCTGTTGTAAACAAAAAGCTATAAATTCTATTCTTTCTGTTGCCAAAGCCAAGGTTATACAACCTATTCTTTCTGCTGCCAATCAAGGCTATAGAACCTATTCTCTGTTGCCAAACAAAGCTATAAATTCTATTCTTTCTGTTGCCAACCAAGGCTATAGAACCCTATTCTTTCTTAACCAGCCAATGCTATAGAATCTATTCTCTCTGTTGCCCAAACAAAGCTATAAATTCTATTCTTTCTGTTGCCAGCCAGGCTATAGGAACCTATTCTTTCTGCCAACCAATGCTGATCTATTCTCTGTTGCAAACAAAGCTATGAATTCTATTCTTTCTGTGCCAGCCAAGGCTATAGAACCTATTCCTTCTGCTGCCAGCCAAAGCTATAGAATCTATTCTCTGTTGCCAAACAAAGCTATAAATTATATTCTTTCTGTTGACAACCAAGGCTATAGAACCTATTCTTTCTGATGCCAAACAAGGCTATAGAATCTATTCTCTGTTGCCAAACAAAGCTATAAATTCTATTCTTTTTCTGTTTGTAACCAAGGCTATGAAACCTATTCTTTCTGCTGCCAGACCAATGCTATAGAATCTATTCTCTCTGTTTGAAACAAAGCTATAAATTCTATTCTTTTCTTTTGCAACCAAGGCTATAGTACCCTATTCCTTCTGCCTTAACCAAGGCTATAGAATCTATTCTCTCTCTGTTTGCCAAACAAGCTATAAAATTCTATTCTTTCTGTTGACAACAAAGGCTATAGAACCTATTCTTTCTTGCCAATCAGGCTATAGAATACAACTTCTCTCTCTGTTGCCAAACAAAGCTATAATTCTATTCTTTCTGTTGCCAGCCAGGCTATAGAACCTAATGCTGCCGCACTTAACCAAGGCTTACTATAGAATCTATTCTCTCTGTTGCCAAACAAAGCTAGAATCTATTCTCTGTTGCCAAGCAAGCTATTCTTCTTTCTGTTGCCCACCAAAGGCTATAAACCTATTCTTTCTGCTGCCAACCAATATGCTAGAATCTATTCTCTCTTTGCCAAACAAGCTATAAAATTCTATTCTTTCTGTTTTAACCAAGGTAATAGAACCTATTCTTTCTGCTGCCAACCAAGGCTGTAAGTCTATTCTCTTTTTGAAACAAAGCTATAAATTCTATTCTTTCTGTTGCCAACAAGGCTATAGGCTTATTCTTTCTGCTGACAACCAATGTGCAGAATCTATTCTCTCTGTTGCTTGAAACAAAGCTATAAATTCTATTCTTTCTGTTGCCAAAGGCTATAAGACCAAATTCTTTTCTGCTGCAGCCAAGGCTATAGAATCTATTCTCTCTGTTGTGAAACAAATACTATAAATTCTATTCTTTCTGTTGCCAGCAAAGCTATAGAACCTGTTCTTTCTGTGACAACCAATGCTATAGAAATCTATTCTCTGTTGTCAAACAAGCTATAATTCTATTCTTTCTGTTGCTAACTGCAACAAGGCTATAGAACCTATTCCAAACAAGCTGCCAGAATTCTGCTTTCTGCCAACCAAGGCTATAGAACCTATATTCTCTCTGTTGTAAACAAAGCTATAAATTCTATTCTTTCTATTTTAACCAGGCTATAGAACCCCATCCTTTTCTGCTGCCACCAATGCTATAGAATCTATTCTCTCTGTTGTCAAACAAAGCTATAAATTCTATTCTTTCTGTTTTGCCAACCAAGGCTATAGAACCTGGCTTTCTGCTTTGACCATTCTCTCTGTTGCCCAAACAATGGGCTATAGAACCCTATTCTCTGTTGCTTAAAAGGCTATACGCTGCATAAATTCTATTCTTCTGTTGCCATTCTTTCTGCCACCAAGGGCTCTCTGTTTTTAAACAAAGCTATAAATATTCTTTCTGCTTGCCAGCCAATAGCTATTCTTTCTGCTGCCAACCAAAGGCTATTCTCTCTGTTTGCAAACAAAGCTATAAATTCCTATTCTTTCAACCAATGCTATAGAATCTATTCTTGTTGCCAAACAAGGTTATAGGGCCTATTCTTTCTGCTGCCAACCAATGCTATAGAATCCTATTCTCTCTGTTGCCAAACAAACTATAAATTCTATTCTTTCTGTTTCTTTTCTGCCCAGCCAAGGCTATAGAACCTATTCTTTTGTTGGCCCTATAAATTCCAATTCTTTCTGCTATATAGAACCTCTATTCTCTCTGTTGCAAACAAAGCTAAATTCTATTCTTTCTGTTTGCCAACAAAGCTGGGAGCCTATTCTTTCTGCAATGCTGCTGAATCTATTCTCTGTTTGCCAAACAAAGCTATAAATTCTATTCTTTTTTGCTATAGAACCTATTCTTCTGCTTGCCAACCAATGCTATAGATCTATTCTCTCTGTTGCCAAACAAACTATAAAATTCTATTCTTTCTGTTGTAACCAAGGCTGCGAACCTATTCTTTCTTGCTGCCAACCAAGGCTATAGATCTCTATTCTCTGTTTGCCAAACAAGGCTATAATTCTATTGCTTTGTTTTGCCAACCAGGCTATAGAACCTATTCTTTCTGCTGCCAACCAAGGCTATAGAATCTATTCTCTCTGTTGCCAACAAAAACTATAAATTCTATTCTTTCTATTTGCCAGCCAAGGCTATAGAACCTGTCTCTGCTGCCAACCAAGGCTATAGAATCTATTCTCTCTGTTGCCCAAACAAAGCTATAAATTCTATTCTCATTTGCCAACAAGGCTATAAATTCTATTCTTTCTGTTGCCAACCAAGGCTATAAGTCCTTCTCTCTGTTGCTAGGCTATAGTTCCTATTCCTTCTGCTGTAGAACCTGTTCTTTCTTAGGCTGCTGTAGTCTATTCTCTCTTTTGACAAAGCACTCATTTCTATTCTTTCTGACGTAGCAAAGGCTTTACTGGAACCTATTTCTTTTCTGCCAGCAATGCTATGGAATCTATTCTCTCTGTTTGCCAGAACAAAGCTATAAATTCTATTCTTTCTGTTTTAACCAAAGGCAATGGAACCTATTCTTTCTGCACCTTGACAGGAGGCTATAGAATCTATTCTCTCTGTTGCCAAACAAAGCTATAAATTCTATTCTTTCTGTTTTGTACCCAGGCTATAGAACCTATTCTTTCTTGCCAGCCAATGCTATAGAATCTATTCTCTCTGTTTGCCAAACAAGCTATAAATTCTATTCTTTTCTGTTGCCAACAAGGCTATAGACCCTATTCTTTCTGCTGCTTAACAATGCTATAAATCCTTCTTTCTCTTGCAAACAAAGCTATAAATTCCTATTCTTTCTGTTGCAACCAAGGTTATGGAATCTATTCTTTCTGATGCCAACCAATGCTACAGAATCTATTCTCTCTTTTTAAAACAAAAGCTCTAAATTCTATTCTTTCTGTTGCCAGCCATGCCCCTTGCCCTTGGCTATAGAACCTATTTTTCTACTGCCCAATGCTATGGAATCTGTTCTCTCTGTTGCCAAACAAAAGCTATAAATTCTATTCTTCTTCTGTTGCCAACCAAGGCTATAGAACCCTATTCTTTCTTAACTACAGAAACAATGCTGTAGAATATTCTCTCTGTTGCCAAACAAAGCTCACAATTCTATTCTTTCTGTTGCAACCAAGGCTATAGATCCTATTCCTTCTGCTGCCAGCAAAGGCTATAAGTCTATTCTCTCTGTTGCCAAACAAAGCTATAAATTCTATTCTTTCTGTGACAGCCAAAGGCTGTAGAACCTATTCTTTCTGCTGCCAACCAATGCTATAGAATCTGTTCTTCTCTGTTGCCAAACAAAGCTATAAATTCTATTCTTTCCTGTTTGACAACCAGGCTATAGAACCTATTCTTTTTCACTTCCAGCAATGCTATAGAATCTATTCTCTCTGTTGCCAAACAAAACTATAAATTCTCTTCTTTCTATTTAAAAGGCATAGAACTATTCTTTCTGCTGCCAAAAGGCTATAGAATCTGTTCTCTGTTTGCCAAACAAAGCTTTCTATTCTTTCTGTTTGCCAACCAAGGCTATAGAACCTATTCTTTCTGCTGCCAACCAATGCCCTATTCTCTCTGTTGTACAATCTATTCTCTCTGTTGCCAAAACAAAACCTATAAATTCTATTCTTTCTGTTTGTAAACAAGGCTATTAATTCTATTCTTCCTTTGCCAACCAGGGCTACTTAGAACCTATTCCTTCTGCTGCCCAACCAAGGCTATAGAATCTATTCTCTCTGTTGCCAAACAAAGCTATAAATTCTATTCTTTCTGTTTGTAACCAAATTCTATTCTTTCTGTTGACAACCAAATGCTATAAGATCAAACAAAGCTATAGATTCCATTCTTCTTTCTGCTGACAGCCAATGCTATAGAATCTATTCCTTCTGCTGAACCAAAGGCTATAAATTCTATTCTTTCTGTTGCCAAACAAAGCTATAAAATTATATTCTTTCTGCTGCAACAAGGCTATAGAGCCTATTCTTTCTGCTGCCCAGCAATGCTGCCGTCTATTCTCTGTTTGCCAAACAAAGCTATAAATTCTATTCTTTCTGTTGCCAGCAAGGCTGTGGAACCTATTCTTCTGCTGCCAGCAATGCTATGAGTCTATTCTCTCTGTTGCCAAGCAAAGATATAAATTCTATTCTCTGTTGCCAACCAAGGCTATAGACCTATTTTTCTGCTGCTGCCAACCAATGCTATAGAATCTATTCTCTCTTTTGCCAAACAAAGCTATAAATTCTATTCTTTCTGTTGACAACCAAGGCTATAGAACCTATTCTTTCTGCTGCCAACCAATGCTATAGAATCTATTCTCTCTGTTGCCAAACAAAGCTATAAATTCTATTCTTTCTGTTTTGCCAACCAAGGCTATAGAACCCATTCTTTCTGCTGCCAACCGAGGCTATAGAATCTATTCTCTCTTTTTGCCAAACAGCTATAAATTCTATTCTTTCTGTTGCCAAAAGGCTATAGAACCTATTCTTCTGCTGACAACAATGCTATAGAATCTATTCTCTCTGTTTGCCTATTCTTTTCTGCCAAAATAAAATCTATTCTCTCTGTTGCCAAACAAAGCTATAAATTCTATTCTTTCTGTTGCCAACCAAGGCTATAGGAACCCATTCTTTCTGCTGCCAACAATGCTATAGAATCTATTCTCTCTTGCCAAACAAGCTATAAATTCTATTCTTTCTGTTGCCAACAAGGCTATAGAACCTATTCTTTCTGCTGTAACAATGCTATAGAATCTATTCTCTCTGTTGCGAAACAAACTATAAATTCTATTCTTTCTGTTTTGTCAGGAAGGCTATAGAACCTATTCTTTCTGCTGCCAACCAAGGCTATAGAATCTATTCTCTCTGTTTGCCAAACAAAGCTATAAATTCTAATCTTTCTGTTGCCAACAAGGCTATAGAACCTATTCTTTCTGCTGCCAACAATGCTATAGAATCTATTCTCTCTGTTGTAAGCAAAGCTATAAATTCTATTCTTTGTTTCCAACAAAGGCTATAAAACCTATTCTTTCTGCTGACAACCAAGGCTGCCAGAATCTATTCTCTCTGTTTAAAACAAAACTATAAATTCTATTCTTTCTGTTTCCAACCAAGGCTATAGAACCGATTCTTTCTGCTGCTAACCAATGCTATAAACTATTCTCTCTGTTGCCAAACAAGCTATAAATTCTATTCTTTCTGTTTGCCAACCAAGGCTATAGAACCTATTCTTTCTGCTAACCAATGGCTATAGAATCCTATTCTCTCTGTTTGCCAAACAAAGCTATAAATTCTATTCTTTCTGTTTGCCAAACAAGGCTGCAGAACCTATTCTTTCTGCTGCCAACCAAGGCTATAGAATCTATTCTCTCTGTTGTTGCCAAACAAAGCTATAAATTCTATTCTTTCTGTTGACAACCAAGGCTATAGAACCTATTCTTTCTGCTGCCAAACATGCTATATAATCTATTCTCTCTGTTGCCAAACAAGCTATAAATTTATTCTTTCTGTTGCCAACCAAGGCTATAGAACCTATTCCTTCTCTCTGCCAACCAAATTCTATTCTTTCTGTTGCCAATCCTATTCTCTCTGTTTGTTTGCTCTCTGTTGCCAAGCAAAGCTATAAATTCTATTCTTTCTGTTGTAATGAGGCTATAGAACCTATTCTTTTGCCCCTTTGCTATAGAATCTCTGTTTTTCTGCTATAAATTATATTCTCTCCTATTCTTCTGCTGCAAACAAAGCTATAAATTCTATTCTTTCTGTTGTCAAACAAGGCTATAAAACCTATTCTTTTCTGCTGCCAATCAAGGCTATAGAATCTATTCTTTCTGTTTTAAACCAAATAGAATCTATTCTCTCTGTTGTAAACAAAATATAAATTCTATTCTTTCTGTTGACAACCAAGGCTATAGAACCTATTCTTTCTGCAAACAAGGCTATAGAATCTATTCTCTCTGTTTGCAAACAAAGCTATAAATTCTATTCTTTCTGTTTGCCAACCAAGGCTATAGAACCTATTCCTTCTGCTGCCAACAAATGCTATAGAATCTATTCTCTCTGTTTGCCAAACAAAGGCTATAAATTCTATTCTTTCTGAAAGACCATCAGGGCTATAGAACAAATTCTTTCTGCTGCCAACCAAGGCTATAGAATCTATTCTCTCTGTTGCCCGACAAAACTATAAATTCTATTCTTTCTGTTGACAACCAAGGCTATAGAACTATTCTTTCTTCCAACCAATGCCAAGAATCCTATTCTCTGTTTTGCCAAGCAAAGCTATAAATTCTATTCTTTTCTGTTTCCAACCAAGGCTATAGAACCTATTCTTTCTGCTGCCAACCAAGGCTATAAGAATCTATTCTCTCTGTTTTAGAAACAAAGCTATAAATTCTATTCTTTCTGTTGCCAACCAAGGCTATAGGGCCTATTCTTTCTGCCCCAACAAAGGCTATAGAATCTATTCTCTTTGTTGCCAAACAAAGGCTATAAAATTTTATTCTTTCTGTTTTAAACCAAAGCTATAGAACCTATTCTTTCTGCTGACAACCAATGCTATGAAATCTATTCTCTCTGTTGCCAAACAAAGGCTATAAATTCTATTCTTTCTGTTGCTAACCAAGGCTATAGAACCTATTCCTTCTGCTGCCAGCAAAGGCTATATTCTCTCTGTTGCCAAACAAGAAATTCTATTCTTTCTCTGTTAAGTAAACCTAAGCTATAAAACCTATTCTTTCTGTTGACAAACAAAGTATAAAATTCTATTCTCTCTGTTTACACCAAAAGCTATAGAACCTATTCTTTCTGCTGCCAACCAAGGCTGTAGAATCTATTCTCTCTGTTGCCAATAGTTCCTATTCTTTCCAGTTTGCCAAACAAGGGCCACTATTCTTTCTGTAATCTATTCTCTCTGTTTACAAACAAAGGCTATAAAATTATTCTTTCTGTTTGCCAACAAGGCTATAGAACCTATTTTTTCTGCTGCCCAATCAAGGCTATAGAATCTATTCTCTCTGTTGTCAAACAAACTATAAATTCTATTCTTTCTGTTTGCCAACCAAAGGCTATAGAACCTATTCTTTCTGCTTTTGCCAACCAAGGCTATAAGATCTATTCTCTCTGTTGCCAAACAAAGATAAATTCTATTCTTTCTGTTGCCAACAAGGCTGTAGAACCTATTCTTTCTGCTGCCAACCAAGGCTATAGAATCTATTCTCTGTTGCCAAACAAAGCTATAAAATTCTATTCTTTCTATTTGACAACCAAGGCTATAGAACCTATTCCTTCTGCTGCCCAGCAAGGCTATAGAATCCTATTCTCTCTGTTGCCCAAACAAAGCTATAAATTCTATTCTTTCTGTTGCTTCAACCAAGGCTATAGAACCCATTCTTTCTTGTGCCAACTAAGGCTATAGAATCTATTCTCTCTTTTCTTAAACAAGCTATAAATTCTATTCTTTTTGCCAGCTGAACCTATTCTTTCTGCTTTGCAATGGAATTCTATTCTTTCTCTGTTGCCAGCAAAGCTGCATTCTATTCTCTCTGTTGCCAAACAAAGCTATAAATTCTATTCTTTCTGTGTTGCCAACCAAGGCTATAGCCTATTCTCTCTGTTGCCAAACAAAATGCTGTAGAATCTATTCTCTCTGTTGCCAAACAAAAACTATAAATTCTATTCTCTGTTTCAAAACAGGCTATAAATTCTATTCTTACCAAGGCTATAAAACCTATTCTTTCTGATGCCAACCAAGGCTATAGAATCTATTCTCTCTGTTGCCAAACAAACTATAAATTCTATTCTTTCTGTTTTAAGCAAAGCTAAATTCTATTCTTTCTGTTTGCCCAACCAAAGGCTATAGAGCCTATTCTTTCTGCTGCCAACCAATGGCTATAGAATCTATTCTCTCTGTTGCCAAACAAAACTATAAATTCTATTCTTTCTGTTTGCCAACAAGGCTATAGAACCTATTCTTTCTTTCTGCTGCCAACCAAGGCTATAGAATCTATTCTCTCTGTTTTGCCAAACAAAGCTATAGAACCTATTCTTTCTGTTGCCCAGCCAAGGCTATAGAACTATTCTTTCTGCTGCCAACCAGGCTGTAAGTCTATTCTCTCTGTTGCCAAACAATATATAAATTCTATTCTCTCTGTTGCCAAACAAAGTTGCTATTCTCTGAACCCTATTCTTTCTGCTGCCAACCAATGGCTATAGAATCTATTCTCTCTGTTGCCAAACAAAGCTATAAATTTATTCTTTCTGTTTTTTGCCAACCAAGGCTATAGAACTATTCTTTCTGCTGACAACCAATATTATAGAATCTATTCTCTCTGTTTTGCCAAAACAAAGCTTTATAAATTCTATTCTTTCTGTTGCCAACCAGGCTATAGAACCTATTCTTTCTGCTGCCAACCAAGGCATAGAATCTATTCTCTCTCATTGCCAAACAAAATCCTATTCTCTCTGTTGCCAAACAAAGCTATAAATTCTATTCTTTCTGTGCCAACCAAAGGCTATAGAATCTATTCTTTCTGCTTGCTATAGAACTATTCTTTCTGTTGCCTGCATTCTTCTTCTCTTTGCCAACCAAGGCTATAGAACCTATTCTCTCTGTTGCCAAACAAAGCTATAAATTCTGTTCTTTCTGTTGCCAGCAAGGCTATAGAACCTATTCTTTCTGCTGCAAACCAATGCTATAGAATCTATTCTCTCTGTTGCCAAACAAACTATAAATTCTATTCTTTCTGTTGCCAGCAAGGCTATAGAACCTATTCTTTCTGCACCAACCAAGGCTATAATCTATTCTCTCTCTGTTTGCTAACAAAGCTATAAATTCTATTCTTTCTGTTGCCAAAAAGGCTATAGAACCCATAAATTCTATAGAATCTATTCTCTCTGTTGCCAAACAAAGCTATAAATTCCTTCTTTCTGTTCTATAGAACCTGTTCTTTCTGCTGACAACCAATGCTATGAAATCTATTCTCTCTGTTTGCCAAACAAAGCTATAAATTCTATTCTTTTCTGTTGCCAACCAAGGCTATAGAACCTATTCTTTCTGCTGCCAACCAAGGCTATAGAATCTATTCTCTCTGTTGCCAAACAAAGCTATAAATTCTATTCTTTCTGTTATTTCTTTCTGCTGCCAGGTTATAGAACCTATTCTTTCTGTTGCCCAAACAAAGCTATAGAATCTATTCTTTCATTTGTCCAAACAAAGGCTATAGAATTCCTATTCTTTCTGTTTGCTTATATAAAACCTGTTCTTTCTGCTGCCAACCAATGCTATAGAATCTATTCTCTCTGTTGCCAAACAAAGCTATAAATTCTATTCTTTCTGTTTCAATAAAGGCTATAGAACCTATTCTTTCTGCTGCTTCTGTAGAATGTTGCCAAACAATCTATTCTCTCTGTTATAGAATCTAAAACAAAACAAAATATAAATTCTATTCTTTCTGTTTGCCAAACAAGGCTATAGAACCTATTCTTTTCTGTTTGCCAGCAATGCTATAGATCCTATTCCTTCTGCGCAAACAAGGCTATAAAATTCTATTCTCTCTGTGTTGCCAAACAAAGCTATAAATTCTATTCTTTCTGTTGCCAACCAGGCTATAGAACCTATTCTTTCTGCCAACCAAGGCTATGAAATTCTATTCTTTCTGTTTCCAAACAAAGCTATAGACCTATTCTTTCTGCTGCCAACCAAAACTCTATTCTCTCTGCCAACCACAAGCTATAAATTCTGTTCTTTCTGTTTGTAGCCAATGCTGTAGAACCTGTTCTTTCTGTTGCAAGCAAGGCTATAAATCCTGTTCTCTCTGTTGTGCCAAACAAAGCTGCCAAATTCTATTCTTTCTGTTGCCCAACCAAGGCTATAGAACCCTATTCTTTCTGCTTGCCAAACAAATGCTATAGATTCTATTCTCTCTGTTGCCAAACAAAGCTATAAATTCTATTCTTTCTGTGCCAACCAAGGCTATAGAACCTATTCTTTCTGCTGCCAAACAATGCTGCTAATTCCTATTCTCTCTGTTGCCAAACAAAGCTATAAATTCTATTCTTTCTGTTTGCCAACCAAGGCTATAGGGAATCCTTTCTCTCTGTTGCCAACCAAAGCTATAGAATCCTTCTCTCTGTTTATTCCAAAGCAAGGCAATTATATTCTATTCTTTGTTGCCAACCAAGGCTATAAGTCAAATTCTTTCTTTGCCAAACAAAGCTGTAAATTCTATTCTTTCTGTTTCAAACAAGGCTATAGAGAACCTATTCTTTCTGTTGCAACCAGGCTATAGAACCTATTCTCTGCTGCCAACCAAAGCTATAGAATCTATTCTTCTGTTTGCCAAAGATATAAATACTATACTTTCTGTACCCAACCCATTCTATTCCTTCTGCCAACCAAAAGGCTATAGAATCTATTCTCTTTGTTGCCAAACAAAGCTATAAATTCTATTCTTTCTGTTTGCCAACAAGGCTATAGAACCTATTCTTTCTGCTGACAACCAATGCTATAGAATCTATTCTCTCTGTTGCAAACAAAGCTATAAATTCTATTCTTTCTGTTGCCAACCAGGCTATAGAACCTATTCCTTCTGCTGCTTCCAAGGCTATAGAATCTATTCTCTCTGTTGCCAAACAAAACTATAAATTCTATTCTTTCTGTTTACTTGACAAGGCTATGGAACCTATTCTTTCTGCTGCCAACCAATGCTATAGAATCTATTCCTCTGTTGCCAAACAAGCTATAAATTCTATTCTTTCTGTTGCCAACCAAGGCTATAGAACCTATTCTTTCTGCTGTCAACCAAGGCTATAGAATCTATTCTCTCTGTTGCTGCCAGAATCTATTCTTTCTTTGCCAAACAAAGGCTAAAAATTCTATTCTTTCTGTTGCCAACCAAAGCTATAAATTCTACCTATTGTTTCTGCTGCCAACCAATGCTATAGAATCTATTCTCTCTGTTGCCAAACAAAGCTATAAAATTCTGTTCTTTCTGTTGCCAACCAAGGCTATAGAACCTATTCTTTCTTGCTGACAACCAAGGCTATAGAATCTATTCTCTCTTTGCCAAACAAAACTATAAATTCTTTCTTTCTTTGCCAACCAAGGCTATTATTCTTTCTGCTGCTGCCACCAATGCTATAAGTCTATTCTCTGGCCAAACAAAGCTATAAATTCTATTCTTTCTGTTGCCAATCAAGGCTATAGAATCCTCTGTTTGCTGTTCATTCTTTCTGTTTTATTCAGGCATAGTATAGAATCTATTCTCTCTGTTGCCAAACAAGCTATAAATTCTATTCTTTCTGTTGCCAGCCAAGGCTATAGAACTTATTCTTTCTGCTGCCAACCAATGCTATAGAATCTATTCTCTCTGTTGCCAAGCAAAGCTATAAATTCTATTCTTTCTGTTTGCCTTAACCAAGGCTATAGAACCTCTTCCTTCTGCTGCCAACCAAGGGCTATAGAAATTATATTCTTTCTGTTGCCAAACCTAAGCTAAGGCGGCTAAATTCTATATAAATTCTATTCTTTCCTGTTTGTAGCAAAGGCTATAGAACCTATTCTTTCTACTTTGTAACCAATGCTATGATCTGTGTGTCCTATTCTTTCTGTTACCAACCAAGGCTATAGCCAAGGCTATGAGAATCTATTCTCTCTGTTGTAAACAAAGCTATCAATTCTATTCTTTTCTGTTTGACAGCAAAGGCTATAGAACCTGTTCTTCTGCTGCCAGCTGTATAGAATCCTATTCTTTCTGTTGCCAATCAAGGCTATAAATTCTATACTTTCTGTTGCCAAACAAAGCTATAAATTCTATTCTTTCTGTTGTGCCAACCAAGGCTATAGAATCTATTCTCTCTGAACCTATAAATTCTTTCTGATTGCCACCCAGCCTAAAGGCTATAGAATCTATTCTCTCTGTTGCCAAACAAAACTATAAATTCTATTCTTTCTGTTGCCAACCAAGGCTATAGAGCCTATTCTTTCTGCTGCCAGCCAAGGCTATAGAATCTATTCTCTCTGTTGCCAAACAAAGCTATAAAATTCTATTCTTTCTGTTTTGCCAACAAGGCTATGTAGAACCTATTCTTTCTGCTGCCAACCAGGCCTTTATAATCTATTCTCTCTGTTGCCAAGCAAGCTGTAAATTCTATTCTCTGTTTATCAAGGCTATAGAAAGCTTTCTGCTGCCAGCCAAGGGCTGCAATTCTATTCTCTCTGTGTTGCCAAACAAAGCTATAAATTCTATTCTTTCTGTTGCCAACCAAGAGCTAGAGACCTATTCTTTCTGCTGACAAGGGGCTATAAGTCTATTCTCTCTGTTGCCAAACAAAAGCTATAAATTCTATTCTTTCTGTTGCCCAACCAAGGCTATAGAACCCTATCCTTCTGCTGCTTGTAAGGCTATATAATCTATTCTCTCTGTTGCCAAACAAAGCTATAAATTCTATTCTTTCTGTTTCTTACCAAGGCTATGAACCTATTCTTTCTGCCAACCAAGGCTATAGAATCTATTCTCTCTGTTGTCAAACAAAGCTATAAATTCTATTCTTTCTGTTGCCAACAAGGCTATAGGGCCTATTCTTTCTGCTGCCAACCAATGCTATAGAATCTATTCTCTCTGTTGCCAAAGCTAAACAACCAAGGCTAAATTCTATTCTTTCTGCTGCCAATGCTATAGAATCTGGGAATAACTATTCTCTTTCTGTTTGCCAGCCAAGGCTGCTAGAACCTATTCTTTCTACTGTTGCAATGCTATGAGAATCTATTTCTCTCTCTGTTTGCCAACAAAGCTATAAATTCTATTCTTTCTGTGTTGCCAGCCCCAAGGCTATAGAACCTATTCTCTTTCTGCTGCCTTAATGCTATAGAATCTATTCTCTCTGTTGCCAAACAAAGCCCTATTCTTTCTGAACCTTTCCTTTCCCAACCAATGCTATAGAACCTATTCTTTCTGCTGCCAACCAGGCTATAAATTCTATTCTTTCTGTTTGCCAAAGGCTATAGAACCTATTCTTCTGCTGCCAGCAATGCTATAGATCTATTCTCTGTTTGCCAACAAAGCTTATAAATTCTATTCTTTCTGTTTTAACCAGGCCCTAGAACCTATTCCTTCTGCTGCCAGCAAAGGCTATAGAATCCTATTCTCTGTTGCCAAACAAAGCTATAAATTCTATTCTTTCTGTTGCAAGGCTTATAGAACCTATTCTTTCTGCTGCCAGCCAATGCTATAGAATCTATTCTCTCTGTTGCCAAACAAAGCTATAAATTCTATTCTTTCTGTTGCCAGCAAGGCTATAAAACCCTTTTTTCTGCTGCCAACCAAGGCTATAAGAATCTATTCTCTCTTTTACAAAGCTATTTCTTTCTTTCTGTTTGCCAACAAAGGCTATAGAACCTATTCTTTCTAGCCAACCAATGCTATAGAATCTATTCTCTCTGTTGCCAAACAAAGCTATAAATTCTATTCTTTCTTATTGCCAACCAAGGCTATAGAACTATTCTTTCTGAACCAAGGCTATTCTATTCTCTCTTTGCCAAACAA